CCTGTGGCGAGTTACGAATTCGGGAGTGTGAGTCCTCCAACTTTGTTCTTTTTTTTTTTTTTCCTCAAGATTGTTTTGGCTACTCTGGGTCCTTTGTGTTCCCATTAGAATTTTCGGACCAGCCTGCCAGTTTCTGAAGGAAAGCCAGTGGGGACTTTGATAGGGATTACACTGACCCTGTAGATCAATTCGAGGAGTACTGCCATCTTATTGTTTTTTATTTTGGTATTTATTTAGTGCAAACTGAGCTCATGCCCAATATGGTATTTTGAGTCCTGATCTATTCTGCTTACTATTCTGTCATAGGCATTTCCCTGGGTTACAAAAGATGCAAGCATAATTTCACTGCTCTATAATATTCCTTTGTTTGGCTGTTCCACAGGATTATCAGCTCCTGGTTGTTGGATAATTTATCAGAGACGTGCTTTGTTCTGGGGCCTTGTGGTGCAGGTCTCTCCTACAGGCACAAACGGACCCTGGGAGGACTGGAGGTCCACAGATCAGCGGAGGAATACTAGTGTAAAGTTGACCAACAGGTCCCCCACGCTGCAGGCGGGGCCTGGGGCTCCCTGGAGAAGCCAGCATTCTGGCTAATGGCCAGCTGACCTGCCGGCCTGCCTGGCAGCGCTACCCTGATGGAATGGAATCGGGAAACAGGATCCAATAGGTTGGCAGGCACTGGTGGAGAGCACGTTGGTTGTAGGCATGGTTTTCAACATTACAAAAATTGCAGCATGAAATTTGTCGAAGATTCTAGCTCAGTTCACCTGAAGTGAAAGTTTCACTGAGTCATACTTTTTGTATCAGTCAGGAGAAGCTGGTCTGCCGCAATAACAAACAGCCCTCAACTCTTAGTGGTGCTAGAACTTTCTTTTTCCCTCATGCTGCAAGTCTGTTATGCAGCAGGAGTGCCCTGGAGTTCAGGTTGCTGGAGGCTTCCCCACGCAGGTCATTGCTGCTTTCTGTGGCAGGGGAAAGAGGGTGCGGTAGGCCCAAGAACAGCCCCCCGCAATGTGCCTATACCCTGATCCTTGGAACCTTTGAATGTATTACATTACATGGCCAAGGGGAATTATAGTTGCAGAGGAAGCTAAAGTTCCTAATCAGTCGGTCTTAAAATAGGGCACTAAATGTATCCATAAGGCTCGTTAAAAAAGAGGGAAGCAACAGAGGTCCGAGTGATGCAATGTGGTAAGAGCTCAAACTGCTGTTGCTGGCTTTGAGGATGGAGGGAGAGGCTTTGGAACAAGGCACATGGGTGCCCTAAGAGCTGGAAAGAGCAAGGAAACGAATTTGCCCCTAGAGCCTCTGGAGAGGAACATCGCCCTGCCAACATCTTGATTTTGACCCAGTGAGGTCCACTTCAAACTTCTGAACTATGAAACTGTAAGATAAGCCTATGTTGTTTTCAGCCATTAAGTTTGTGGCCATTTGTTGTAGGCTCCAAGGAAAACTAATACAACTAATACAATAGGCATGGGGAATCATGCACCAGCCCTTAAATGCTCTGCCTGGAAATGGCATGTAGCACTTCTACTCATATTTCATTGGCTGGAGCAAGCTACACGGGCATGCTCGACTTCACAGGACGGGAGAAATTTGCCCAGCCTTGGAGGGGGATGGAGTATTGGTAAATATAGTGATATGTACTGTATGCTTGCTATCTATACCTCAGGCTTCTTCTATCTCCTATTCCATTAAAACAAGTGCTGGTGGCAATGCTTTAAGTTGATTTCATTACCAACTAATGGGTTGTGGCCCCTGCTTTGAAAAACATTGCTCTATAGACTCTTTTCTGCCCATGCGTCAGGGACCATATGACACACTCTAGGCAGAGCTGATTGGCCCAGGAATGGGACACCTGACCAAAGCTGACCAATGAAATTCCTCTCCTGGGACTTTGGAATTGGGCCATTCAGCAATTAACAGTGGGAAGCTGAGGGAGAGGCAGAAAAGAAAGAGGGTCAGAGTGAGAGCCAGTTGCAAGCCAAAATGATGGAGGAGCAGAAAAGCACTGAGTAAGCAGAGAGAGTTGGTCTACAAAGACAATGGAGCGGCCGCACAGAGAGCAGTGCAGCCGGCAGAACATGCAGCCCCAGAGGGAGAGGTGGAGAGAGACAGCAACCGTCTGAGAGGCTGATGGCTTCCCTGTTCCTGGCTCCAGCCCCTGTGCCTCCTGCCTGCGCACTCTTCCCGTGAGATTTTTGTCTCCTTATCATGCCCCCCTCCCTTTCTTGGGCTACCCTCGGTGGGTTTCTGTTCCTTGTCTCCAGTGAGCCTCACTCAGCTGCACCACCACCGGTGTTTCCTGTGTGGGACCGAGCTTTGGCTCGAGAACCCGGCTTGCGGGGCACAGAAGGGACTCGGGAGTAAACCAGATCCGGCCACTGCCCCGCAGTCTGGGTGTCTGGCTCTGACCATGTCTTGTGCGTTTGTGCTTGCTCTTCGAAGTGGACGGGCAGAAGCCATCTGCATGGTGCGTCACACATGGGGGGTCCCGGTGGCCTGGAAGCACTCCCACAGGGACCTTTTTGCTGACATTGGGGTCAAGAAGCTGGCACAGTTGCTTCGGGGAGGGCTGGACGGAGGGGAAAGGTGGCCACCGTTCGCCCGCCCGACCCTCCATTTCCTCATCTCTGAAATGGGACTGTGGGAGGATCGGCAGTGTTTGGGGAAAGACACTTCAAGACGTGACTAGGGCACAACACACTCTCAGATCTTGGGCAGCTGCTGCGGTGGTCTGAGGAGAAGGTGGCCCCCTGGCTGACTGAGAGTCAGAACGTCCCCCCTACTGGCCACCTTCCTGCCCCTGTTGCCCTCACTCTCCTCTCACCCCTTCACCGGCCCTGTCGTTTCTTCCTCTCCCTGCCCCTCTCTTGCCCTCATTTCCCCTCATTTCTGTTCCCGATCTCGATAAAAACACCTGCTGTAGAAAAGCAGCAGGGCTGGGTATGAAGCACCCAGCTTCCGGAGGCAGACATGCAGAATTGCGTCGGAATCCTGACGCTGTCCCCTGTTTGCTGTGCGTTCCTGGGCAGGTCACCACATCTCTCTGAACCCCCAGTTCATTATCTATGAGCACAGAGATATGTGGTAAAATGGGCTAGAATGCCCATTTTGCAGTGCTAATAGTAGAAAAAATTAGGCACTTAACAAAGGCTAGTTCCTTCTTACCTCCCTTCCTCCTTCCCTCCCTCCCTTTTAGATTATCACTCTTTCAGCCTGGCCCCCGGCCCCCTCCTGTGGCCAGGAGGCCACTTATCCCTGGGAGGGATCTCTGGTCTTCTCTGCAGGCCTAGCCCAACCTGGTAGCTGCTGGTTTAAACCATGTGATGTGTATTTTTTCTCACTTTAGCAATTATTACACTCCTGCTGACAGTGGCATCTTCACACTCCAAACACTGATAAATATTTATGAGGAGAAAAGCTCAGAACCCCTAGGGGATGTCAGGGAGGAATGTGCTAGGCCCTTCTTTGCAAGCCAAGCTCAGATGCATCAGCGTCCCTTGGGCCCCGGAATGAGGGGTGGCTGTGTGGGAGGCGGTGGAGGCAACACAGAGCCACCCCCCCCACACCCCCCTTGCAGGACAGACTGCTGCTGCCATGCTGTTGGCCTCCCCCTGCCTCGCCCAGGCTGCCTGTTGGACCTCCTGCTTCCGGGGAGGGACTGGGGCTGTGTGGTCCCTCTCGGCTGCACACGGGCCTGCCCCATCGCCCTGCGTCTGCTCCAAGTCTTGGCTTGTGACTGCTCCTCTCTCCCTCATTTTTGTTTTTGTTTTTATTTTTTTATTTGTTTGTTTCTTCATCTCCAATGCCATCTTTTATTTTCAGAGCTCCCGGGCCATGTCCCTATCCTGTCCTCTTCCTCCTCCAGCCCCTTCTCTTAACCCCTGGGTCTCTGTCTCTTTCACTTTTCTTCTCTCCCTCCCAACAGTACTGAGCGGTTCTGGGAATCTACAGTGAGGGGTTGGGGAGGGGCCTCTGGTGCTCAGAGGCAGCAGCAGCGGGAGAGGGCAGGGGAACTGCTGCAGCCTGCAGTGCACTCCGGAAGGCAGAGCGAGCCCTTGGTGGGACTGGGCGACAGGCCTCTGCCTGCCTCCACACCCAGAGGTCTGCTCTGTGGCCACGGGCATGTCCCCTCCCTCTCCTGGGCCTCAGTTTCTCAGCTGCTGATTCCTTCACTTGTTCATTCATTCACCCACTCAACTAATATTTATCGAGTCCTTGCTACTTGGCATTCATTAATGCATTTATTGAACACCTAATAGGTGCACCCTCCTGGGCACTTAGGATCCATCCAAGCAGAATCAGTTCTCAGGGAGCTGACGTGTTAGCAGAGCAGACAGGCATAATTGTAACCAGCGACTGTGCAGTAGGTTAGAAAGTGGTCAGTGCTGCGGGAAAAGGGAAAGTAGAGGGAGAAAAGAAGCGAGAGTGTGGGGTGGGACACAGGGGGAAGACCCCTCATTTAATGCTGGGATGCTGGGCAAGCAGGTCTGTGAGGAGTGTCCGGGGGAGGGGACTGCCAGAGCGAAGGCCCTGAGGCAGGAGCTGCCCTGACGTGTGGGAGGAACAGCCAGAGGCTCTGTGGCTGGAGGATGGAGGGAGGAGAGGCGGAGGCCATGTCGGGAGGTAAAGGAGGCAGAGCAGACGCTCAGACCGAGGCCAGTCCTCTGCCTGGACAGGGCAGGGTTTGAGTAAGTGCACAGCGGCGGTCTGACTTACATCTGGAAAGACTCCCTCCACCTGCTGGTTGAAGAACAGACTGAGGGGGCCATGGCCAGAGCCCGGGAGAGCTGTAATGGCAATACAGGTGCCTTGGCTGGGAGCAGTGGTGGAGATGGTGAGATCTGGGTATGCTGGGCACTATTCCAGCTCTGAAGGCTGAGAAGGAGCCTGCAAAATCACTCCAGGCCCCTGGCCCTCAGCCCTGCTGAGGGATGGCCTGCAGGAGACTTCCCCTGGGCTAACCTTGGCCTTCCCTCTCTTTCTCTCCACAGGGTGTTCAAGAAGGCGAGCCCAAATGGAAAGGTGAGTCTACAACAGCTGCACCCCAGCTCCTGCCTGACCCCAAACTCTTGTCCTCTCTCGGGCATGTCTCCTGACCACGCAGGACCCTGCATATCCCCATCTGAGGCTGTTAAGAGGCCTTGGCCGCAGGGTTGGGGGCCCTTGGGAAACTCACTCCTGGGATTGGGGTGGTACAGTTCCCCTGGGCTCCAGGGAGCCCCTGCTCTGGTGTGGGGGTACATGGCTATCACAGAGAGACTTTGGTGTGAGTGCAGGAGCCAGAGAAGTGCCAAGGGCCTCAGGGGCCCTGCCCCCTGGTGTGAGAGGCCCCTAGAGGCTGTCTACCAAACCGGGCGTCCTCGAGTTGTCGGGGCAGCTCCCAGTGCCCCTCCTGTTGGATTTCTTCCTGCAGGCCCCAGGCTCCATCCTGCCTCCCTCTCAGCTCAGCACATAGATGGTGCTGACATCAGTCACGTCAGGCCCCGGTGAGCCGGTGGGGTTGGGGTAGGCGGCACCGAGATAAATAAGCACAGGCCCTCCACTAGGCGCCAGACGGGGTAGGCAGACACGAAAGCGATCATTCCCATCTACAGTGACAGGTGTGAGACAAAGGGCTGCCCTGGGGCTACAGGACCCAGCCTGGTGTGTGTTTCCAGGCAGGGCCTGGTAGAAAGGGCATTCTGGGCTTGCATGTAAGTAAGTCATAGGGAGTGTGTGTAGGGGTGGGGTGGGGGGTCATAGCAGTTGCGTCTGAGTGCCCAGAGGGAGGCTGAGGGAGCAGGAGCTGCGGCCGGGTGGCTGCGGGGCTGGGTCCTGGGGAGTCTGGTGGCGGGCACAGGGGCTTGGACCGCTGGCCTGGGCTGGCAAATGGCAGCTCATGGGCTCCCTCTGCAAACATCACTGGTCACCTTTCCCGCTGAGCCAGGATCCTGCCTGTCCCAGATTCCTCCTCAGCTCCGGCCAATCGTGCCATCAATCATAGTTGGCATTTGGAATGAAACCCATTTGTCATCTTGCCTCTGGGCACGGAGGCACCGTTAGAGGGTTTTCAGATGGGAACAGCAGCGTTGGATTAGCATTTCGGGAGGGCCCGGCTGGCTGAGGAGGGGTGGCCTGCGGGCTGTGATGGAGGGACTCATCGGGATCTGGGGACCGTGGAGGAGCAGGCGTCCAGGGTGACCCTCTGGACTCTAGCTCAGGGTCTCCCCTGAGGGCTGGCTGCCAAGTGGGGCTCCAGCTCTGGATCCCTCTCCGCTCAGAACACTGGCCCCCACAGGGGTGGGTTTCTGCTAGATTGTGCGGAAGGAGCTCAGGGTTCAGAGCTTCACTGGGTGTCCCTGCTCTCGTTTTCTCTGGGCCCTCAGAGACTCGCCCGGGACTCTGCTCAGCAGGCCTCTTGGCCGCTGTGGCTGCCCCACCCTCCGTGGTGCTGGACAAGAAGATTTCTCCAGGGCTGTGTCCTCATCAGTAAAATGGAAACAATAGCAACTTCTTCATAGAGGTTTAGAATGAACAGGTGCCTTCAAAATTGTACAAGGGTTTGTTATTCTTCGTATCGGGGCTGGGGCTCAGGTCCAAGGCCAGCTAGGGTTTCGGTGAGCGTCGGGGATGGGTCTGGAGTTTCAGGGGCAGCTCCCAAGGTTTCCTCCAGGGCCAGGGCCCGCGGCTTTCAGGAGCGTGTTCCCCGGGCCCACAGCTGCTAATGTCACCCTGCTCCTCTCGTCCGCAGCTCACCGTCTATCTGGGGAAGCGGGACTTTGTGGACCACATCGACCTCGTGGACCCTGTGGGTGAGTCTCTGGAGTCCAGGGAGGAAGGCAGAGGGGGAGGCGGGGCTGGCCAGGCCCCTCCCAGAGAAGGGTGTGTTGAAGCAGCCCAGGACAAGCCCTTGGGCCCCTGGTGCCAAGAATGGGGTGCGAGGGGCGTCCTGCTTTTCAGTCAGCAAACATTTATGGAGCAGCTTCCCCCCTTAGCTGAGGGTTAAGTGAGAAGGATGGAGGTGAGAATCAGGGGAGGAACCCTGGCGATGATAAGGAGGACGAGGACGATGATGACAGCAGCTCCCCACTACTCCCTGCCCCCACCCCATACAATTTACAGCATACACTGGGGGTGGCCACTGTTATTACCCCTGCTTCACAGAGGTGCTGACGAGGCCCAGAGAGGTTGCGTGACTTGCTCCAGGTCACAGAGCTAGCAGGTCACGGAGCCTGGATTCAAACCCAGGCAGCCTAGCCCTACAGAACCTGTGTTCTGCTGCCTCCTGACGGCACAGGCTGGGCGGTGGAAGGAAAACCCTGGGACTTGTGAGGTGGAGGCTGTTCTCATGGACATGCGGGTCCTCCCAGAGGCTGACGCCCTCCCCCAGGCCTTGCTCTCATTCAGGGCTCCTCAGCCTCGGTGCCCCTGGCTTGGAAGGTCGGGTAACACTTTGCTGTCGGGGCTCCACTGTGCATTGCAGGTGTTCCGCAGTACCCCTGGCCTCCACCCCCTAGACCCCGTTCTAGCATGACAAAAAGCATTTTTGGACATTGCTGAACGTCCCCTCGGAAGGCACGCTCACCCCTGGTTAGGAAGCTAAGAGCCATCGCTCTCCTTAGAAGAGCTTGATCTCATCGCCTCTTCCCACACCTGTTGGAGGGAGGGAGGCCCCAAGTCCCCCTGTTGTAGAGACGGGGGCAGTGAGGCCCGGAGAGGCTCAATGGTTTTTAAAGAGAGAAGACACGAACGAACCAAAGTGAGGCCGGTGGAGGGGACAGGCTGGGAGGGTGAGCACTGGAAACTGCACGAGGCCAAGTCCAGGTGAGGAAACTGAGGTGTGTTTGGGGAAATTCACAGAGACCGTGGCCAAGGTCATCGCACCACTGGGGCCGTCCTGGGGCTGGGAGGGCGGGAGCCAGCCCAGCCCGGGGTGGCGGAGCCCATGTGGGAGCAGCGCGCAGCAGCCGCCTCAGCTCTCCGAGAGGGAGACCTCCATGACCTTGGGACAGGAACCCTGGGGAGTCCCGGGTTGGCAGGGGTGCAAGCAGGGCCCGGGGCTGCGGAGATGCCAGCTCCCGTCCAGGGCCCCTCCCTCCTGCCCAGAGCAGGATGACCCCACTCTTCCTCCCCAGCCCTGTCTGGGGACACTGTTTGGTGTCCCCTGAGCTCAGTGTCCCCTCTGCCATTTGCATCTCCCCCCTGAACGGGCCCCTTGGAGGCTGTGGGCAAGCTTCCCAGTGTTCACCTGCGGCCTCCTTGGAGGTGCCATCTTCAGCCCACTGGCCTATTGAGAACCACAGTGGAGGTGGCACTGAGGCTGGGGGAGGGGGGGCGGGCTGAGGGAAGCAGCTCCCCCAGCACCCTGGGCACCCGAGAACTGCTCAGCAAGTGTTCGCAAGAGCACCTGCTGCATGGCAGGCCCTGTGTGGGCCCTGTGGGGGCCCCGAGGACTACCTTGGTCTTCTCTCGATGACCCTTCTTGCCCTTTAAGACCTGGTACAACTCCCGTCCTCCAGGGAGCCTCCCCTGAGGCCCCTGGCAGGAAGGAGTGTCCTGACTGGGACTTCTCCTCGCTGATTTCCCACTGAACCCCCAGTGCCAGCACGGAAGGAACACCCTCCATTAGGGAGGGATGGGCACTGGGGCTCTGGGAGGGGGTGGCACTTCCCCAGCCACCTGTCCCTTGACCTGCCCGGCATTGGGGTAGGACCCAGGGCCCTCTGGGCACTCACTTCCAGAGGTGGCCTCTGAGAGTCCCTGAGAGGTCAGCTGTGGGGGCATCGTGGGGTGGGGGGTGGGGGGGGGTTAGGGTGTGGGCAGAGAGAGATTGTGCTTGTTCAGTGCATCTAGCTGGGTCAAGTGTGGCCCGAGATGACTGGGGATGTGACCGTGAACCAGAGTGCTGGTCCCCGGGGGTTCTGGGCAGAGAAGAGGACCTTCGTGCCTGGCTGACCCCACCCTCCCAAGGCCTGGTCTTGGGACGTTCTCCGTGGTGTCATGTACACTGAGCCCCATCTACTGCTTTAATGCATGCACTGGCTCAGTCCTCACAGGAGCCCGACGAGGTGGGCACAGCAGGGCCACTCACCTGGCTCTGCAAACCCCAAAGCCAAGAGCTCTGAAAGTCTAAAACTGTTCATGAGTTTGGTGCAGGATTAGAAGGCCAGTCATGCCTTATGGCCCCTCAGTGAGAATACTCACGTCTCCCAGCAGAGGGAGCGTGGGTTTGAGCGATGGGCATGGCCCGATCCTGCAGGGGGCATCAGAGAGTGCATGGAGGATGGACCCGATGGCCTTCCTACAATTCAGAACTTCTAAATTCCAAATGATACCCGACAACAGGGGGTTTGGGCCCCAATTATTATCATGACAGATACACAAAAGTAACCCCCCGAAAGTCACCAGCTGGGTCTGTAAGGCCAGCCGGGGGTGGCAGGGGTACTGTGCCGTCCCCCTGGGTGCTGGTCTCCTGTTTCTCTTGTGGTGCTTTTGGACAGACAGGCAGACGGTGGGGTTTGTGGTTGAGTTTGGGTTTTGCTTGGTGTTCAGGGCTTAGGAGTTTGAGAGGTTGGGTTGGGAGGGTCTACTCAACTCTCTGTCCTCCCTCCAGACGGTGTGGTCCTGGTGGATCCTGAGTACCTCAAGGAGAGGAAAGGTGAGGCCCCACCCCCGGCCTGTCCAGGGGCCTCCTCTTCCCCTGCCAACCTCCAGCCTAGAGTCCCCCTGACTCCCAGGCAGGGCAGCAGCCAATCATATTGCCTCTCCCAGCCCATCCCCATCGGTTCTTCCCTCCATAGCCCCACCGCACATCTGAGCAGGAGCCCCGGCCTCCTCCGGCCTGGGGCGGCCCTGCACCGGGCCACCACCGGGGAGAACCATTTCAATGCCCGAGCACTATCACATCCATATAGAATGACGGTCCCAAGGCTGGGCTGCACCAGGGCGGGAGTTAGAGTCTCATTTTACAGAAGAAACAGCTGATTGCTGGGGAGGTGCAGGGCCTGTCCAAGGTCAGCAGGAAGACGGGAGGTGGGGGTTAGATTGGGCAAGACCCCGGGCCTTCATCCAGAACCACCTATTTGTGCCCCTTCACACACGCCCTGGCTCGAGTGGGGTGGGGGTGGGGAAGGACAGATCTGGTCCAGCGGTCAGCCCCTACTTCCTCCAGGTGCCAGGCCACAGGTGGCTCTCCCAGGTCCCCAGTGCCCCGTCCCAAGGGCAGTGCAGCCCTCTCCATGGGAACTGTGGGGCAGACCTGTGGCCGCCAGCTGGGCCAATCTCAGGGCTATGGCTGCGGTTGTGGGGGGCTTGCTCGGTGCCCTCCTGGCCCCCCCCTCAGTGCCCCCTGCTCCCACAGTCTATGTGACACTGACCTGCGCCTTCCGCTACGGCCGGGAGGACCTGGATGTCCTGGGCCTGACCTTTCGCAAGGACCTGTTTGTGGCCAACGTGCAGTCCTTCCCGCCGGCCCCCGAGGACAAGAAGCCCCTGACGCGGCTGCAGGAGCGCCTCATCAAGAAGCTGGGCGAGCACGCCTACCCGTTCACCTTTGAGGTCAGGGACCGCATTCCAGAAGCATCACCTGTAGGGAAGCGCTCTGGGCGGGCACGCAGGGGAAGCTGGGGCAGTGTGTGTTGGGACCCGGGGCACTGCTGTACGGCCTGGTAAGTGCCTCTTGTCTGGCCTCTGCCAGGGGTGTCACCCTTACCTCTGAGCTGCTCCCAGACCCTCCTGAGTCCAGGTCACTGGTGGGAGAAAGAGGGTACGGGGGGCTGCAGACAAAGGGGCCCTTTCTTGCCCCCGGGTCACCACAGGGCTGTCTCCTCCCTCAGACTGGCTGCCCACTTGCCCAGCCTCTGCCCGGCTCACAGACAGGGATGGCAAGTAGTGGATTTCCCTGCTCCACCCACTGTCCATTCCGAGACCCCCACATCCTGGGTTTTCACGAGCCCTGTTTCTCAGACTCTGACTGTGACGTGACGAAGTGATCTCTCCTTGCTGTCCGGAGGGTAGAGAAGGGGAGGCAGTGCGGCTCATCCTCTCCTTCACAAGTGCCTTGGTTTTCTGTGGCTGCGGAAACAACCTACCGCAAACATGGTGGCAATTAAACCCGCCAATTAAAGTACAGACTTATTACCTTATTACCTGGGTGAGGTCAGAAGTCAGAAATGGGCCTCACCGGGCTAAAACCGGGGTGTCAGCAGGGCCCCATTCTTTCTGGAGCTCGGGGGTGGGGTAGGGGGAGAATCTGTTTCCTTGCCTTTTCCAGCTTCTAAAGTCCGCTCACGTTTTGGCTCGTAGCCTATCCCTGCCCCCCACCCGCCACGTGAGTCTTTCTCACAGCCCGTCTCTGACACTGACTTCTGCTTTCACTGTTAAGGAGCCTCGTGGTTACATCCAGGGTAATCTCTGCATCGCGAGATCCTTAATCACATACATAAAGTCCCTTTGCCATGAAAGGCAACACAGTCATAGGTTTGGGGATTAGGATATGGACATCGTTTGGGCCGTTATTCTGCCCACCACAGCAGACATCCTGGGGAGATCTTTTTCAACTGTTGGTCCATGAGGACTGGGCTAGGCTGAACCTTTGGATGGAGAGAAACACTGTGGTCACTGGCTTTACTGGAGGGGTCACTGGCTTTACTGGAGGTGCCTTTGGCCCCATGTGGGGCGTGGCTTGGCACAGTCTGATGGGGGAGGCGTGGTGTGCCCTCTGGAGCCCCTAACCTGACGGGAGAGACGTGCCTGTCTTTGGAGTGCCCTGGTCTGAGGAGCGAGCGTGCATTCTCCTGAGGCAGGAGACCTGGGGCGGTGAGCGGTGAACATGGCAGGAGGCTCATTCTGGCTGTCTTCTCCACAGATCCCTCCGAACCTCCCGTGCTCGGTGACATTGCAGCCAGGGCCTGAAGACACGGGGAAGGTGGGTCGCCCCAAAGGGAGCATCTGTCTGAGTATGACACTTGTGTTCCCCGGTCCCTGGCCTCCTCTCCAGGAGGTGCTGGAGCCCTCCCTGTAGAAGCCCCCTTGTGTCGAGGCGAGTCTAATCTGTCTGTTCACCGAGAGGGTAGCAGATGCGGTGCCGTCCTTACCCCGAGCTCAGTGGTGTGTCCAAAGGCTCTCCCGAGTCACTCTCGCCGATCTTGGTGTCGGCTGCAACAGGACCACACATTCTCTGGATGACCACCTGGCCTCACACCTCATGTGGAGGTGCACTCATTTCAGAGGTGGGAAAACTGAGGCTCAGAGAGAAGTGACCCCACTAGTATCACAGGCCCCGACCTCAGCCCAGGCTTCCTCCTCTGTGAAATGGAGGTAATGGGATGTGCCTCCTCGTGCGGTGCGAGGGCGAGTGAGCCGCTGCCGCGGTGCCCATGGTGCCCACTGTGCATGCACACGCTGCTCCCAAACAGGGCACCGAGGGTCCTGTTATGTCTGGGCGGCTGCCCTGGTGAGGGTGACCACCAGGCGAGCCAGGAGTCCGCAGAATATAGCCCTGTTGGGGTGGCTTGGGATGCCCCGCGTTGGGGGAGCTGGGGAGCAGCCCTGTGGGAAGGTCAGGTGGGGGAGGCGCATCCACAAAGGGAGGCAGCACGGCCCTGGGGCGGAGCGCAGGGCTCCCGAGTCAAACCGAGGGCCTGTGGGGGCTGGGGGCGGTTTGGGGCTCCGCTCCAGTGTCCTCTCTGTGAGAGGAGAGGGCGACTGGCGGTGCTCTTGGGACTCTGCCCACCCCAAGGCCCTGCAGTCAGCGACCCCCTCCCCACAGGCCTGTGGTGTGGACTATGAAGTCAAAGCCTTCTGTGCAGAGAACCTGGAGGAGAAGATCCACAAACGGTGAGAAGACCGCAGCGTCGGGCTCGGGTGTGGACTGCCTACTGGCGGGGAGAGGGGCAGGCCAGGCAGGGTCAGGGGAGAGATAAGTGACAATGCCTGGAAGTACTTGAGGAGGGGCCACGCATTCCAGCACTGGGAGGTCTGACCAGGGCCCTCTGGACATCTGGCCGGTCACAGAGGGCTTCCTGGGGAGGTGGCTTAATGGCCCTGGCTCAGGCCTTAGCATTTTTTCCTTCATGCTGTTGTACCTGCTTCCTCCCTCTCGCCGCCTCCAGACTGCATGTCTCTTTACTTTGTTTTGCAAAAAATCCCAAAAATTCAGATTGTTTTAAACAGTGAGTTAGTTCCCAGGCCATCCTAGACCCATTTCCCAGGTCTCTTCCTGGGAGGCTATCAGCGGCAGGTAGGAGTGGTAGGGGGTGTCTGTGGAGGCTTCTAAGTAAGGGAGAGAAGTGGGGAAAGTGAACCTACCCAGGTGAGGAGGGGGAGGGCAGCTCATGTCTTCAAGAGGGGAAGCGTTCTCTTGGAGAGGCACAGCCCTGGGCACACAGAGAGCCCAAGGCAGCCTGAAACAGCCGGCCTTGATTTCTGATGTGGGCTGCCTCCGCCCCCAACTCAGATACAATTTTCCCTGGACAGTTCCCGCCAGAGGCTGGCTGGCAGGCAATCTGTTAAGGAGTGGGCTGAGTCTGCCACCTGGTGGCTTCAGGGTGTATTGCAGGCATCTCCATCTCCAGCCTGGGCAGCTTGTGTGTGTTTGGGGGCGGGAAATGGGGCCCTTCTCCCTTGCTTCTCCACTTCTTCTTAAGGTCCGAGGTCAGGGGAGTGGAGGGGGATTGTGGTTTTGGGTGCTGGAGCCTGATCAGAGAAAGGAAGAGGAGCAACGTGGAGAATTGCCACCTGCTCCTCACCACCAATGGGACATTTTAAGTCCTCACCAGAGTTACTACTAATAATAGCAACTATCATTTATCAAAGATTAATTATGTGCTGGACAGTATTCAAAGTGGTGGGCGTGTATGAACTAATTTAGTTCTCATAGCAACCCTAAGAAATTGGTCCTGCTACTGTTGCTGTTTTACACATGAGGAACCGAGACACAGGTTAATTTACTCAAGGTCATAAGTTCGTAAGGGGAGAGCCAGGACTTTGCCCTGGCTAACCGGCCCAGGGAGTGGAGGTGGCTCCTCTGAGGAACAGGGATGCTGGCGTGCCCAGCGTGCCCCGGGGACTGCCTCACCGAGGCCCGGTTCCGCCCTCGTCCCGTTCTGCCCTGAGCTCCTGTCTCCATCACTGAGCCCACTCTTGTCTCTGGGCCTCTACCCCCTCCCCGAGTCTTTATCATCTTCCCAACCTGCATCCCCAGGGGGAATCCACGCCCCAGCACGGACCTGTCACCTCTCCAGGGTGCCGTTTGTTTCTGCATGGGGTCCCTGTCCCCTCTGCATATTTTTGTTTCATAGATGTTTAGCAGCATTTGTTAGCCAGCAGACACTGTCACGGGCACTGAGAAAACAGCAGTGAACAAGTGAGACAAAAATTTCTGTCCGTGAGGAGCTTACACTGTCAGATAACAGAAGGGATACCGCAAGTGAATACATAGTCTCTTTCTTATTGTCCTGCTGGCCACTAGCACACAGACCGAGAGGACATGCTGCTGGGGGTGGTTCGGCTCTGGTGTTGTGGGTGTTCAGACCAGGAGAAGATCCAAGTAGGTGTATCCAGGAAGGTTCTCTGGAAGAGGAGGCATTTAGCTGGGCCTTGAAGAAGGAAGCAAGTGAGGGCAGAAGCAGTGGGAAGAGGGTACTGTAGGCAGGGATCCCATGCAAATGAAGCTTCAGAGAAAGAACTAGATAGAGCATCAGGGATGATAGTGAGGATGTGGGGGTGGCTGGGGACAGGATGAGGGAAGATGGAGTAGGGCCAGGTGGTGACAAGGCTTCTATGCCAATCTCTGCAGTTTGGACTGGAGTCTGAGGCTGTGGGCCACAATGGCCATTTCTTGAGCAGGAGGATTGAGAATTGCAAGGAAAGTCACCAGCGGCAGGTGACTCTGGTCATCTTTGCTCTGCCCATCCCCACCAGGAATTCTGTGCGCCTGGTCATCAGGAAGGTTCAGTATGCCCCGGAGAGGCCTGGCCCCCAGCCCACAGCCGAGACCACCAGGCAGTTCCTGATGTCAGACAAGCCGTTGCATCTTGAGGCCTCCCTGGACAAGGAGGTAGGGGGCTCAGACTTGGGGGCGAGGGGTGCCTCTGTCAGGGCTGGGACTGCTCAGATCCCAGCTTTTCCTGGCCTCAGGACGCTTCAGGTAGGATCTTCTGCCCCCAGCTGTAGGAGCACTGGGCTCTGGGGACCTGAGATTTCCCTCGGGGTTTTGGGGAAGCTTCTTAAGACCTAACATGGTGTCAGAAGGAGACATGATCCTGAAGGATGAGACTGCAGAAATCAGTGCAGCCCCTGAAGGGTCCTGGTCCTGGTGACCTCCCTGCACCCCCATCCGCCCTCGGGCTGCGAGCATCCCTTACCCCTCTCTGGGGACCACTGAAAGCAAGTGCTTGGGGCAAGACTCAAGTTGAGGTCCCTCCATGAGGATTCAGAGCTGGTTCCCTCAGTGAGTGGGCCAGTTCTTCCCCACCTCTCTCCAGCTTCTTCTAGATCCTCCCGCATCTAAAATTCTAGGCGGCCAGAGCTGGCAGGGACTTGATACGTCACCCCATAGTCCAGCTTCCCTATCATACACAGGAGAAAACGGAGCTAGACTAGGGGGCAAACAGGAGAAAGCAGAGGCTTAGGAAGCCTGCCCAAGGTCACACCGCTCTCCTCGTTGCTGTTATTATTGTTATCATCATTTCTGGTGAGCAAGCGGGGACTGGTGTGCAGAAGCATCACCTTCTAACTCAACAACCTGTCAAGGTCCCACAGAGGGACTGCAGTCTAACGTGCCAGGTGGCTTGGCATCAGCGGGGAGTGGCTGATGAACTAGGGGCCCGTGTCAGAGTGCCCAAGGTCTGGGGAGCCTGGGAGACCTGTGTGAGGCCTCTCCTGCCTCCCCCTCTCTGGAGCTTGGGGTCCTCCCACCCAGCCCTGCTCCCTCCTTCCGCCTCCCAGATCTACTACCACGGAGAGCCCATCAGTGTCAACGTCCATGTCACCAACAACACCAACAAGACCGTGAAGAAGATCAAGATCTCGGGTACCGTGGGTGGAGGGCGGGCCAAAGGGGGTCCTCCCACGGGGCGGGGGTGGCTGAAGGCTCTCCCCTTGTTAGCAGCCTTGTAAGTAACTGCTGAGTACCCAGGCCCCGCTCTAAGCCAAAGGGCGAGGCTTTGAGGCTGCCTATTGGCCAGGTAATGCGTGGACTTTGTAAGCTGCCTCCTCTTGGGTTCCCTTGGCGCAGGGCAAAGCTGTCCTCGAGGGGAAGACTTCTTGGTCGTGGAAGGGTGTGGGTGTGTTTGGGCAGCCCTTTGGGTGGAGGGTGGGGATGGTCACCTGCGGAAGCTTCCAGTGGACTCTGGCCATTGCCTGGGGCTAAGCACCCCCAACTCAGGGGAGCCTGGGGTGCCTGGGAGCTGCACCCCAATTCACACCACCTCATTCCTCTCTCCCTCCCCAGTGCGCCAGTATGCAGACATCTGCCTTTTCAACACAGCCCAGTACAAGTGCCCCGTGGCCATGGAAGAGGCCGAGTAAGTGAGCATAAGCCCAGTCCTGGACGTGTGGGATTGGGTGGGGGGAGGAGGAGCCCTGGGTCCCTTACAGGCCCAGGAGCCTCTTCTCCACCCGGCAGAGGCCTGGGCCTCGGACTTCCCTGCCACTCACAGTCCATGATCCTGACCCGCCTTTTAGAAAGCATTCACTTGATTCAGCTGTGAGATAATGTGTGCTACCGTCACAGAAAAGACCCACTAGAACTAGAATAACCAAATAAGAGCTAATGAATCTCAAGGGCCTAGGGTCATAATGATACTGTGTCAGAAACTTATACTGAAGGGAAGTACTTTATTCTGAGCTTCCTGGTAGCCAAGGCAAACAGGTTGACACACTAGGTACACAGCTGTTCTTGTCTGATGAAAGAATAATCCAGCTCATGGGGTAAAAGGGGTTGTGTGGGAGGGTAGATAATTTGTTGTTAGAAACATCTGGCTTTGAGGAGAGCTACTGTGATTGATCGTGGAACTTTGTTCCCAGCTTCTTAGCTGCTGAGGAAATGAGCGACCTCAACTGAAACATTTTTTTTTCTCACCAGAAGGAAGTAGATCCTCCTATTAGAAGACACATTTGGTTTTTTTCTTTTTTTCCTGGCCCTGCATGTAATTTTTTTGAGCAGTTAATGTCATTTAATATTTCTTATATGTGTGTGTTTGTTTATACGTCATAGCAATCAGTGTATCTGCAGCTAAAAACACTAAAAAACAAACCCACTTTCACAACGTTGCCCTGTGCTCTCCGAGAGGTCCTGGCTGGGTGGGGCGGGCTCTAGCTCGGGCCTCTCTACACCCGCCTCCCTTCTGCCCAGCGACACGGTGGCCCCCAGCTCCACGTTCTGCAAGGTCTACACGCTGACCCCCTTCCTGGCCAACAACCGGGAGAAGCGCGGCCTCGCCCTGGATGGGAAGCTCAAGCACGAAGACACGAACCTGGCCTCCAGCACCCTGTGAGGACACGCCGTCCCTCGTCCTGGCTCTGGAATGTCCGCCCTGTCCCCGTGGATCCACACCCGCCTTGGGCCCACCAGTGCCAGCGCTGGGTGGCATAGGTTCCCCTCTTCCCAAGCGTTGTCCAGGGTCCCTCCTCTTAGACAGCCAGGGAGCTTAGACGGCCAGGGAAAGCTGTCCCTTTATTCTCACCGCTATCCAGGAATGACCCAGGGGATATGATGGGCCCCTAGACCCACGCCCTTGGTCAGGGCTGGGCTCTGCTGGCTTGCTTGAGGGAGAGCAACCTGGAGAGGCCTCCTGCAAGAGGCAGCAGATCCTAACCTAGTGTCTTCAATCAGATGGGCTTTGTCCCTGAGGCATAGTGAGGCTGGTTGGGGCGGGGGGAATAGCTCCTCGAATGGCCTTAGCAAGAGACAGTGAATCGTGAGGGGGTTGGGGAGGCTGGACAGTTGAGGGCAGATGTGGGGGTGCCCCTCAAAGGCAGGGCTTCCATTCCTTCTGAGTTCCCACCCCCTCAGGGCACAGCTTCCCTTTCTCACACTGCTGTCTGCTCGCTCCTGGTGGCTGAGTGGTCCAGGAGAGGGCGATGGCCGCCGCCCCCCACCGCACCCCTCCCCTGCCAGGTCCTGCCCACCCAGGGAGCTCCCATGGACCGGCTTCCTCGTGTCACCTTGCAGGTTGAGGGAAGGAGCCAACAGAGAGATCCTGGGCATCATCGTTTCCTACAAAGTGAAAGTGAAGCTGGTGGTGTCTCGGGGCGGGTGAGTGTGCTGGTGCAGCCCCGACCCCCGAGTCCAGGGCCGTGCCCCTAGCCACCTGCAGCCTGCTGCCCCTTCCACCTGTTTGCTGGACGGTTTAGCTGCATCCGCCTTGAGGGTGAACCAAGCTCTAGGACTTCCTTTTCCGTCCCTTCTTCCTTCCTGCTGCTCTTCCTCCTCCTCTACCCCCTTACTCTCTCTCGTTTCAGAGGCCTTCAGCCCCAGCCTTGCCCCTCCCATCTTCCCCTCCTCTTTCTCCCCCGCCCCCTTCCTTAGCCTCCCCTCTGGGCACATGGGTTGGGGAGGCTTCACAGAGTCTGTGCTGTGGGGTGTCTGGGGGGCCCTGTGCCCCTCCTCACACCCTGGGGTATGGCACCCACCCCCACGCATGCCCATGATCATCTGCAGGGGGCTGAGGATCCCACCCACAGCTGGATGGGGGTGTTCTGACTCTCTCATTTTACAGATGGAGAAACAGAGGCCCAAATAGTTCCCCAAACCTTTCTTGCAGTCTCCTCCCCTAATCCCAGGTCATGGGCTGGGAGCTAGGGTCACGGCCGTGGACCATACTCAGTCCCAGACCTGGAGCACAGTCTGGCGCAGGGTGGCTCAGAAAGAGCTACTTTCCCCCTACTGTTGTTATAAACCTAGAATTAGGATTTCTAGGTTTTTAATTTGTCACAGAGCTTTTTTCTAGTTAATGCATTTGTACAAAAGGATGGGAAGGCTGGTGGCCTTCGATGTTCAGTCCCCTTTATTATGAGGATCCTGCCTTGTGCAGGTTGGCAGCGTGTAACTCGCCCGCGTGTTATAGGGTGTCTCAGACTGCCGGCCCCAGCTCCCACGGCCTGTGGCTCTCGCAGGACCCAGCCTCCTCGAGCTGCTTCCCGGAGAAATCCCTGGTGAACCCCGAACTGCCCCCTCCATTGGACAGGCCTCCCAGGAGAGGCAGCTCAGGGCTTCCTTCTCCTGTTTCCTCTGCAGATGCGGGTCCTGTGGCTCCGCAAGGCCTTGCAGAGGGTTTGGCCGAGCCGGGCCCGATCTCAGAGCCTCCAGGAAAGGCTAATGCCATGTCTGTCCTGGATGAGCAGTGGCGGCCATGCAGGGGGTGGGCGAGAGTATGACCCGGGGTCTTCTCAACCTACGGGCAGCACAGGTGGTGAATGAACATGCTTTCTGTTTTCTTCCTCTCTGAACTCTCTCCTGACCACCTCTCCTGCCTCCTCTGACCCACCCAGCCTGTTGGGAGACCTTACATGCAGGTAAAGCCCCTCCCTTTGGCCTGATGGACCCACCTCCCAGGACAGCAGGGCACTGGGTTGGAAGGAATCTCAAGGGTCACTTTGCATTGCCAGGCTCAGGCACACGCCGGGACTGGAACCCTCCCCCGAGGGACCAAGGGGATGCAGTTTTTCCTTTAAAAACCTCACCCTGCTCGAGCATTGCACCCAGGTGACAAGGACCTTTGCAGATCACAAAGCCAGCATTACTGATCTAGGGAGTAGCCCCCAACTAGTCTGAATTATAGAATGTTTTGGAGAAATGTCAGCTCCATGGCTTTCAAACTTCTACACTCATGAGAATGGACTGCAGGCTGAGGGTTGCTAAGGAGAGGGCCCGTGGAGCTCTGCTTCTGTCGACAAGATTCCCTTTCTGCCAGCAGGATCCACATGCATTCCAAAAAGCACATGCCCCCCCACCAGAGGTTTTGCCTCCTTCTGTGACAAGATGGCAGCATTACTGATCCCCAGAAATTGGTCCGTTTGGACTGAGGTGCAATTCAGTTCAGTTCAGTTCAATTCAATGTATTTCAGTAAAGATTTCCCGAACCCAAGCTACGCCCTGGCTTGTACTGGCTGCTGAGGTTCCGGAGAAGGATCACACGCAACCCCTGCCCTTGATCGCTCCTGACCTGGTACAAGGTTAAGGTCCAGATTCTTCCGTCCGCACCCTGTGTGGCTTTAGTGGCAAACTGTGTCTTTCACCAGCTTCTGTTCTGAGGGCTCACTCTTCCAAGTGGGCCTGGAAAAGCAATCCCCTTTGGAAGCAAAAAGAACCAAATTGTTTCAACAGCCTTAGGAAACCTCCATGTTCTTACTGCGAGGAAGTCATGATTCTGCCTGGCACAAGCTTCACAAAGTAACCAGCCTTTACACACGTCACCTTCCGGAAGTTCTAGTGGTTCTGGAGCATAGGTGTTGTTATCCCCATTTTCCAGACGAGCTCAGTAGGACTTGAGGATGTGAGGCGCCCCCAAGTGAGTGGTGGGGCTGGTGGAACAGACCCTCCTGGTTGCCTGTCCCCTCTGTTCCCCTGTCCCTTCATCTCTCCCAACAGGGCTTGCTGGGCAGCAGGCTCAGGGAGGCGGGGTTGTGCCTGGCAGCACTCACAGTTGCGGGGCCTCCCACGGGGACACGTCCTCCGGCTGAGAGGAGGGGCTTCGGGGCTGCTCTTGTCAGAGTGCAGAGCAGGGGTGGGTGGGAAACACCTCAGTTATGAGCTGCTGTCACTCAGTGGTTAAGGGAGTCAGAGGCCTGTCTGTCACTTCCCATTAATAGCTGCGTGCACTTGGGGAAGATACTGTTTGTCCTTGTGCCTCAACTTCCCAGTCTGTACGTTGGTGCAATAACAGCTTGTAAAGATTAGAATAATCCTAGGATAGCCCCCGGCACAGAGTCAGTGCTCTGTAAGTACCTGGTTTTGTTATTTTTCTGGCTGTCAGAAGCACTGGCTGGTGCCAGCACCTCTGTGGTCCTGCCCCCCTGCCCCCCGCCCCCCTCTATCCCTGTGCCCAGCACAGACAGCCCCAGGGCCTGGGTCCCCTCCAACTTCAGTTTGATTAAGCCGACCTCAGCAGTGCGAGGCGACAGGAGGCTGGGGCCACCGGAGCACTTCCACAGGAGCCTCCTGGAGATGCTGGGAGATGGGCTGTGGTGAGGGTAGGGGGTCCCACCCAGAAAGTTGGGAAGGGCAGTGTCAGGGAAGGCTGGGCTGGCTGTGGCGATTTGAGGTTGGCAGGGTCCCTTGGCACCTCTGGAACTACCAGTGACCAAGATGCACGCACTGTCTAGGCAATCCTTTTCCTACCCCTGTCCCTCCTCCCAGCTCATGGGAGATCAGGGATCCTTCTCAGGAAACAGGTAGTTTCCACTCGTTTTGGAGCCAGGATAAGAGGTCCGCTAGTTCAACTCCAGGGAAGACTGAAGCTCAGAGGATGGCAGAACCAGGGCCTGGGGCCAGATTTCCTACCTCTCAGCCCAGAGCTACCTCTTCTGACCACAAAACCCTCCCGGGCCCTCAAACTGGCGGGGCCTTGATCTCACAGCCGGAGACTGGGCTCGGGGCTGACTGGGCCTGGGTCTCTGTTTCAGTGATGTGGCCGTGGAACTGCCCTTCACCCTAATGCACCCCAAGCCCAAAGAGGAACCCCCACATCGAGAAGGTGAGTGGGGTCTGCGGGTCACTGGGCTGGGCTTTCCAGACAGCCAACCCCCTTCTCCACCAGCTGCTGTGTTTTCCCCTCACCCCACCTCCCTCTGGGTCAGGCTTCAGCCCAGGGTCACCCCTCTTCCCCAGCTCCCCAGGATCTTTTGCGAGACCCACACCCCTATTTACCCCTACCTCCCCAGGACGCAGAGAGGTCTGGCTCTGTTCTCTGTGGGGATGAGCAGGGGCTGGGGCGGAGGGGCCCCCTGGCCATGCTTGGGACCCTGTCTTGCACCCAGGTGTGGGGGAGGGGCTGCATGGACAGGGTGGCCCCGGACACGCCATCCCCACAGCTTTTCCAAGTGATACCAGATTGCTCATACTTTGTTGAATCTAAGACTATTCTGTTAAGAGATATTATAGTATATGCCACAAAGAAAGGAAAATGTTCCCACAATTAAACTATGCAATGCCATCGATTGTAAACATACCCGGAGTTAAGAGATGTGACAATGGCTGTTTCAGAGTTAGTGAAAGTCATGCATGCAAGAAATGAATCTAAGTCACGTGGGAAATATGCCAAAGGGAGCAGGTCCAGAGGCTCTTCCATTTGCTGGGGCCGCAGTGGGCCTCCGGGACCCTCCCTGAGCCCTCCAGCCTGCCTCTAGGGTGATTTGGGGGTATTCCTGAGACGAGGAACCAGCCTTCCTTCCCTACTCCCTTCTTCCTTTGCCCGCCTCATCTTAGCTTGGTTGTTCGGGGCTCAAACCTATGCCCCCATACCACTCACCACTAACCTGTGGGTGCCCACCCACCCTGTGTTCAGTTCCAGAGAACGAGGCACCAGTAGATACCAATCTCATAGAACTTGACACAAAGTAAGCCAAACCCTGCCTACAATGTTTGGGTGGGAGGGCCTCGGGGAGGTGGGTGGGACAACAGGGTCATTTGCATATATGCTTATTAATCCCTGACGAGCAGCTGGGCTAACCCCGTCTGCTGAGAGCCGCCTCTGCTCGCCTCTTCAGCAACCCGCTTGCCTGCATGTGACTTGAAGGACCCTCCGTGCCTGTTCCTCTTCCTCCTGACTTGGTGGGGTCTGTTCTTCCTCCCTCATCCTTGCACGTCCGTCAGTCCGTCCACAGCACCTGCTCAGCTCGCACAGGGCTGGTTCGTGGCCCTGGGCTGGGACTCTCCTGCCTCTCCCGTGCCCAAGCAGTGGACTCAAGCTGTGGGGTGGGGAAGGTTCTGGGGATCTTGTTGCTTCTGGCTCCCGAGGACTGATGCGGACTGCCCTGCGGCCAAAGGCCATCGGCTCACCGGACAGTGGCCAGAGGGGGAGACCTGGGTCGACATCGCCAACCACCTCCAGGGCCAACCAGCTTTTCCGCTCCAGCTCCAAATCCACTCTTCCCTTTTCTGCCCGGAGATATTTGGCATCTGGGGTCTCAAGTCACCCCATGAGCACACCCCACACAGCTGGCTGAATTCTGGGAGACAGGGGACTTGAGTGGGCCTAAGCGGACGTGTTTCGTGGTAGAGGGGAGCTCACTGTTCTCAGAAGCAGTCCTTAGTCCTGAAACCCCACTCAGGCACCCCCTTTCCCCACCCCACCCTTCCTCTGCCCCCCTGTTTAGACTTGCCGCCATCCACCCCTTCCTCTCTAAGATCCTGCAGGGTAGAATGTGAGCCGAGGCTCTCCCGGAGCAAGGGTCTTCACGGTTTTCTCTTTCCATAAAGCCAAGCCGGCTCTTCCCCGTGCAGAAGCTGAAGTGCTTCCTGCGAGTAGCTCTTTCGGCGGGTGGGCGGGGTTTCTTGGGCTCGTTCTTGGGGGATTCAGAATATGCCATGAAACTACTGGTGGCCTGGCCCCGCAGAGTGGGAGTAAGTTGTTCCTCTGGCCCCAGCCCAGCTTCACCCCCCCTTACCGCACCCCGAACTGCTCAAGAACCGGGCCACTTTGCAGCCCTCAGGCATGAAAGGCAAACGTAGGCCTTCCTCTGGCATTTCCACCACTGGCTGGAGGCCACATGTGACCAGGCCTACTGTCGCTGGTGGGTGTCCAGATGTGCCAGCCTGGCAGGCCTGCCTGCCCACGGTCAGCCCCAGGGGCCAGCATCCGAGTCCCATCAGCAGGCGAGCCCTCTGACTCCTCTGAATGAGCCTGCTCGCCCTGCCCTGCAAATACCCCTCGTTTTCCTTGTCTTTCCCACCAGCGACGACGACATTGTGTTTGAGGACTTTGCCCGTCAGAGACTGAAAGGCATGAAGGACGACAAGGAGGAGGAGGAGGATGGTACTGGCTCCCCACGGCTCAACGACAGATAGACTGGGCCGCCCGCCCGGGCTGCTCCGGGTCCTCTCTCCCGCACTCGGCCGCTCATTTGTCTTCTCCCCGTCCTGGTGCCCCGCCCCCTTCGTTCTTCCAGTTTCTGCCAGGGGGCCCAGTGGTCTTCCAGGCTGTGGTGGTGAGCCTTCAGCCTCAGGGTGGCCCGCATCCCCATGCCCGCAGGCCGCCCGCACCACCATAGCCCTCTCACCGCAGTCATCTTCCCATCCCCCTCTTTTCCTGCTGACCCCCAGAGAGGCCTCTGTGGCTCTGGCCTTGGAATTTGACCTGGGATGGGGAGCGGGGGGAGCACAGGGCACCGGGCTTGGAAGGGTGGGGGTGCGGGGTCAAGACTGTGAGAGAATGTCCAGGGCCCCAGGTGGTTAATATAGTCTGGCAGCTAAAGGATGACCATGTCGAAGGCCACCGTCTTCTGGCCGGGCCGGCAGCCTGTGGATGGATTCTCAACGCCTGTTTGCAGCTCTGACCCACTAAACACCTTTTCCCTTCCATGCCCATCCCTGCCCGTGTCCCTCTGCGTCTGACAGTGACATTGGCATAAACCCCAGGAGTGGAGAAAAGCGACTGGACTTTCTTACCAGCAGTTACCTAGTCTAAGGCAAGCACTGTGGACTAGCCCAAGTGTATCTCAGTGTTGTCAGGGCGTGGTCTCCTAGCTACTGGCATCTTACGCATGCTGTCCTACGAATACACGTGCGTCGAGAGAGACAGTCAGGAAGGGTCTTCAGAAAGGACCCCCTGCCCCCGCTCCCAGGCAGGATGAGCTGCAGCTGCAAAGGAGGTGTGCGGAAGGGTGGCTCCGAGAGGTGGGCACAGGGGCTGGAAGGGGAGAGTCTGCCCTGCTCCCTTTCTTTGTGGACTCGTAACCGGTGAGCCCATGGGAAGCAAGGCTGCAAGTCCAGAGGGAGCTAGGGACACCAGTGTCCTCCTCCCTCCCCTTGCAGTTCTCTGGGGCCAGGCTGGACTGGCTCTGCAGGCTGGGAGCCAGTGCCTGAGGCCACCATGCCCACAGACAAAAGGGGTCCTTCCTCAGAAGGTGGCAGGGTCCTTTGGGATACCCTCACCTAAAAGGTAAGGGGCTCCCGGGTAGCAAGGAACCCTTTGTTTCCTTGGGGAGTTGACCCCCTCAGTGGTTCCCAGTGCCATGGGGACCCCGTACCCATTGGCTGGTGTTTGCGGTTGACATCTGGGGTGTTTCCAGGGTAATAGGGCAGGCAGGGGATGAGGCAGAAAGTATCCGAAGGTCTCTGCTGTTGTCTGCTCTCTGCTGTTCACTTACTCTGTGTCCCTGGGCAAGTTCCTTTTCCTTTCTGGGCCTCAGTTTGTCACCTAGAAAACCAAGGGGTTTGACCCGATGATCACAAAGGGCCCTCCCAGGTCTGTCCTCCAAGAACTTGTGAACATTAAAGTTTCTGGCTTAGTGGATGGAGCCAGAGCCACTGACTCTGTTCTGTGCCTCCAGAGGGGACTCACTGGTCAGCCCCTGGAGGCGTCAGGGCCATGGAGAGTTCTACTTCCCCATGGCAGGCCTGGGCTGGATCCTTGCTGGGCCTCTAGGGGGTTGCCTGACGTCAAGTTGTGGCCGTAGCTAGCACGAGCTGCCTGGCCCTGGGGCCTGAGTATGACGAAAGGACAGAGCTTGCATTTGCTGAGCTTTCAGTGGGGCTGGAGGGCTGCTGGTAATAGGGCCTCCAGTGACTCACAGCTGCTCTGGATGTAGACACCTGAGCTGCACCTTATACCCAAGCAAGTACACTGATTTATGGGGCAGGGGGCTCTCTCCTCAATTCCTGCTTCCTTCTCTCTCTAGCCCATGCTTGCCTGAAAAGGGAGACAACAAAATTTTATTACACAAGTTGAATCTCAACACTTTTCAGTCCAGGCCCTCCTGGGGTGGCCGGGCAGCCATTTCCCAGGGTGAGATCACCAGCTTCGTTCCTGGCTCTGCATCACGCCCTTCCCGTCTGCCTCTCACGAAGACTCAACCCTAGGGAACCCTACTCAGGTGAGAATCAAGTCAGCTTGGACAGTCACACTCCCTGGCCAGTCCTGGTGTCCTAGTTGCAGGTGCCCCTGGCATCAAGCCCCCACCAGAGCTGGCTGGGTGGTTTGCACTTCATCGGGCAGCTGAGGACCTGATAGAACACTAGAACAATGCGCCATAAGCATGTGGGTGCCAGGGTCTTCCTCAGGAACCTCTGGAGCTGGGATAAGACCCTTCCAGATTTGGGGTAATCACTCTGCTCCATACCTCCTCCTCCATCCCCAACCTGTGCACACGAAAGACTTGCCACTGGTTTCCTGAGCTTCCACCCCTCAACATCTCCCTCACCCTTTCAGGTTTATCTCTGTGGTTACCCAAAATTTCTCCAGCTGCAGGGAGCATCATAGCCCCATCTAGCCTTTTACTCCTTGGGTGCAGGGCTGCAGAAGGGCAATGGTCAAGTTCATTTGAATTTGGCTTAACCATCCTCAGCTGATACCTTAATTGCTCAGTGTGAGCACTGGAGACACAGAGATGGGTCAGTCCCAGGCACTGTCCTCAGGAAGCTCCTGGTCAGGGAAAGTCATGAGGGAAGAATGGGGCCATTTTATTCATGGCCCCAGGGCCGCTGCTCATCCACATAGTGCCTTGATGCGAATCAGGAATGGGGCCCCTTCCAGGTGGACTCAGCCTACTCTAGAATGGACAGCTCTGTGAACGGTGCCCAGGCCGGAGTTCAGCCCTGCTTGCCCCTGGGCTGGGTGCCCCCCGGCAAGCCCTGTGCTGCAGCTCAGGGGCATTCAGACCCGTGCTTCCTCTGGCCTCTTCCTGCAAGAAAGGCCCAGATCCTCTTCCCAAGCTTCTGGTTGGCTCTAGACCCCTGCAGCCCCCAAACATGACTGGGTCCCTCTCTGCAGAGCCCCTCTCCATCTGGCATCAGGTGAGACCCCGGAGTGAAACTGGGGGTTGGGGGCACCCACTGGGCCCCAGGCCCCAGCCCAGTGTCAGTTTCGTTCTGTGCACACAGTTGGAGCCTGTGCTGAGCACATAGTGTTGTACTGAGACCCACCAGTGGGCATGGGGGTGGCATGTAGGTAGCAGTTTAGGGTGCAAGAAAGACGGTGGCCCTGAGTGAAAAATCCCCAGGCAGAGGATCAGCTGGGCTCCTCCACATTCCAACTATGAGAAGGGTCCATCCCCATGAACCTGAGGACTGGTTATCTGGCTGGACCCCACCGGCCTCCTCAGCCTCAGGGGCACTGTTTCAGCTGGGACATTGCTGGTAAGCTGGTTCCCACAGCACTGTGAAAAGCACGCTGGCCTGGAAGCCCACAGTGCCTCTGTGTCCTCATTGTCGTCACCCAGCTGAGTAGCCTTGAGCAAGCCACTCAACCTCTTGGGCTCGGTTTCCCTGGCTGTAAAATGGGACATCAATCCCTTCCCCACTTGCCTCTGTAAAGTGTGAACGGCTGCACAGGCCATGGCCCTGCCACTGCAGGGGAGCAGCTCAAGGTCACACAGGAAGTTTGCTCTGGCCTTCTGGTCCTCTCATTTAGGCAGATGTCAACCAGAAGGAGGTGCAGCCAGGTCTGCTTTGATGACCCCGCTGAGGGAAAAACGGAGACACTATTCAGGAGTGCCATGCCTCAGATAATGATCCCAGCAATCAGGACAGAGAGACAAGACTTGGGTATTGTCAGTGATTGGGGCTCTGGGCCCAGGTTGGTGAGAACCCCCAGCCCCCATCCCCGAATCAGCACTCCATCAAAGAAGCCGAGGGTGATATGGGATAGAAATTGCCTGCTCTTTCCCTTCATGGTACAAGGCCCCTTCCAGGTCAGCCAAAGCTGCCAGTACTTCATGATGATACTTGGGATGCATTTGGGATACGCAGGGGAAACCCAGGCCTCTTACACACGGTGCTGAGCTGCAGCTGACCTGTCCCCTGGTGGTTCCAGCAGCCTGAGAAGGCAGCTTCTCTCCTGACAGTGACGGGGGTGGGACGTTCTCGACCCATCCTGGAGGAAGATGTTAGGCCCCAATCCTGAACTCTTTCAGGGTCCCACGGTCATAGGCCTATGCCTGTTTTGATGTTTCTCTTTTTCATGTCAACAAGGACCAAAACAGACTCCCCCACCCCGGTGCATGAGCCTGCACCTCGGCCCGGGCAGCTCCACCACTTTGTTCTCCCTCTGGGACTGAAATGGCCAGCCCCCTGGGGCAGGCTCTCCACCTCTGACGCCCCCCTGCAGGGTCGCTGCACCGTGGCTTCACAGAGAGGCCTGTGGAAGGGGAGCGTCCTTCCCCATCACTCTCTCCCAACCCTTCGCCCCAAAAGGGAAGTCAAAGCACAGGTCCTGCAGACCCACGATCTGTAGACACTCCGACAGTGGTTTTCCCACCAGGTGCTGTGGAACCCCTGGTGTTCTGCAGCGCTCTTTTGGGGCTGCTACAGTGGGAAGGGAGGGATGGAAGCGTGGGGTAGGTCTCCAGCCCCACCCCCATACCCACTCCCACCAGAGCAGCTCTGCTTTTATCTGTCTTGTCTATTGAAGTTTCACCTTCAAAGTTTCTTTTGGAGAAAAAATTTCTTCAAACCACGATTCCGAGGTTTGACGCTAGACCAGCAGGCACGAGTTCTGCCCTTGCTCTTCACGGCGGAGTGGCTGCCATGTTCCAGCGCCGGGCACCTTTGTACCGGAGCTCAGGTCACAGGCCCAGGCCCAGTCATTCGCTTATTCACACACACACACATTTTGTCATTTGGTGATTTTGTAGCCCCCTGCCCTGGAGCTTGGGCCTAGGTTTCATTTGGGCGGGGGCCTGGTGCTCAGTGACTGGGGGGGGGGGTGTCATGATCTTGACGTTGGTCCATGCAGCGTGGGGGGCAGTGGGGTGCAGAAACAGGCCCAGCCCTCACCTAGAACTCATGTCTGTACCCCAGTGGGACACTCAGCTCTCCTGGCCCAGGCAGTGGGATGACTGAAGGAGCAATGTGATGGGAGGAGACACTAGAGTCAGGCTCCTCTTTACATGTGGACAGGTGGGTAGCAGTCCAGGTTTCTTAGAGGAAATGCTGAGGCAGGACTTTACAGCCAAAGCCCCTCCTTTGAGGGCGGGGTCTGCCCAGAGACGCTTCAGGCAGCGAGTTTCCCTTGGTCGAGTCTGCTAGGATTTCACTCCCACCTGTGTGGGCAGTCGGGTGTGTGGGCTGCAGGAGAGTGCCTGAGGGAGGCTGGTGCCCCACCTGCAGTCTCCCGAACTCCCTCCCTGCCAGCCTGTCCCTTTGCCTGGGTCCCTCATCAGGGCTGAGGGCAGGCACCTTGGTGAGATCTGGGCCAGCCCTCGACACAGAATCCTGCCCGGCCCCCACCCAGGGCATTCTGGGTGAAAATGTGAGGCTCCGGGCACTGCAGGCCACGTGGCGTGGAAGAAAGTGTGCCACCTGGCGTTCTACGTTCAGTCTGAGTGTTCCCTGGGAACCACTGACCTCGGTGTCTCCGTGTGTACCGTGGGGCTACTGCCAGGCTCTGCCCGCCTCACGGGAATTACGGCTGCAAGTGTCGTGGGAGGCGTGGGTCTGAGAGGTGCTTTCACACGAGAAGCGGGAGCTGCACAAGCTCGGGGTGCGATCATGGCCTGCGCTGCAGATCAGGATAGCCCTCGGGGAACCAGTGCAGGGTGCACAGTCCTCCGGAACAGTCTCTGCTCCGGGGGGGGCGGGGGGGCAGCCACAGACACTGGGGGCGGGGCAGGGCGGGGGCGCCTCTTCCCACTCAGTGGGAGCCGGTGCTCAGCCTGGTGCACTAACGGTGTGTGGGTCCTGGGTGTGGGGACTGACGGGTGACTGGGACAGCTCTCCGGGTCTGTGGCCCTTCTGTGAAGTGATTATTGTGTGATGCCCTCATTCCTGGGCCACCTGCCAGGTTTATTTGTTGTACCTGTGGCATTCCTTATTATCTCAGATAAGTTATTGCAGTTTATTCAACTCTCACAGGACAGTGAACAAAAGAACTATAAATAGGTGTCCATTAAAGGTCTTTTGTGACAGGTGCTGGCTGTGCTTCTTTCCTGTCCCACAAACCCTCGGTGGGACGTGGACCAGCAAGTGCCGGCCCCGATGCCCTGGCCTAGTGCGAACTCCCGTGGCCGGGTCAGGTGTTTTCTTCCCCTGCCTGTGGTCCCAGCTCCAACCCAACCCAGTCACTGCACCCCATTCCAGAGACTGCTGGGAAGCTTCCCCCCCCCCCACCCGCACACTTTACCAGCCTTATGGCCTTGGGGAAGTTGCCAAAACTCCAATCCCTGTCAGATACCACAGGGTCCCATGGCCCCTGGTTTGCTCCTGCGGTGAAGCCATCCCATCCTCTCCTGGCGCCACTGAGCACTTCTGCCGAAGTCCTGCCCCAGTTCCAGCCCTGATTCGTGTTCAGGTCTCCTTTCCT